TGACAGTTGCAGTGTCCTGGGATTATGTGACCACCTTTTGCAATCTTCTGGCAAGCAAAGTCAATAGGGAAGCAAGATTCACTTAACAATCATGTTATTAATTTAACAACTGCTATGATTCACTTAACAAATGATGTAAGAAAAGTCGTAGAATGGGGCAAAGCTCACTTAATACATTTCTCACTTGGCAACATAAATTTTGGGCTCAACTGTGGTCATAAGTCGAGGATTACCTGTACACAAAATTGTTTTATTAGAAAATAATGACTAAATATATGACAGTTAACAAAGGCTTACTGGAAATGAAAGCAAAATCTGTACATGTTTTAAGCAAGGAAGACAAGAAATGAGTGAAATACATAAAGGTGTCTTTGAAGTGTAGCACTTTCGTAAGGGGGAAATTACATGTAAATCTGTGATCTTTTAATTCAAGATATAACTCTAAAAGAATTTTATCTAGATCTTTTTAAAAAAATCTGCTATCCCATATTTAAAGATATTTATCCTGGTTTTTCAGTTGGAGAGAAGTTTATTTATGCCAAATTGTTAATCACTTACTAACACTAACCTTAACTGTGCTAACTAAACCATGATTAAGTTAAACATGGGGGAGTCTGTTTTATAAGTACATTTATGGATTAGCCCCTCAGAAATTCTCAGAACTACTGATATTATATGCTAAATGAGAAAGTTCAGGATTGCCTAATGAAGTTAATTCTTTCGATCAGCTCAAGAGGGCACTATAAGCACTGAGACAAACTTTAGAATGATGTTCTAAAAGAAATACATGTGCTTGCTATAAAATTAAAGCAGATTCAATTCTAAAAGTTAAATACCCTCTTTTCAACAACCAGAACTAAGGGACTTAATCACTCTATGAAAATTTTCTTTCAAGGAGAAGTAAAAATGTACCTACATCTTTTATTTTATTTTCATTATCTTTTTGCCAATCAAATAATAACTTTTTTGTTTTGTTAACAAAATTAACATCTGTTATCAAGAAACATAAAGTAGCTATTTAGAGAAACATCAGACACACCTTAAGAAATTACTAAAGCAAAAATAAATAAATGGTCTCCTCATAATAAAGTTGAATTGAGCAAAAGACTCAGAAAGGACCAACAGCGTAACATCATGAATATTTTCACTGAGACAGTTAAAAATCATCAAAAAGCTAACACTTTCATGAAAATGAATACACAAGTAAATAACTACTGTTCAAGACTGAGTAGGCACTAGAGCAGTATGTTAGTATATAAATATCCAGTACATCATATGTATTGTATTGCATTGTACTTTATAGTATTGTATTGTATTGTACTGTACTGTACAGTATTGTATTCCACCTTTACTATTTTTATCCAGAACTCATGATGGGGAACACACCCTCTCTCTTTCTATTTTCTACACAACAATCCCATGGGGGAAGTTGTTGTGCTGAGAGAGTGTGATGGGTCCAAGGTCACCCATAGGGCTTTCATGGCAGAACTAGAACTCACAGTCTCTGTCTGTCTGTCTGTCTGTCCCTCCCTCTCTCTCCCCCACCCCATACACACACATGTATGTATGTATGTATGTATGTATGTATGTGTATGTGTATGTATGTGTATGTATGTATGTATGTATGTATGTATGTGTGTGTGTGTATATATATATATATATATA